GAGCACCGGCGGGCGGCACGGCCCAGTACAGGTCACCGGCTGACGGCACGGTCTGGGACAGAGCACCGGCTGACGGCACGGTCCAGGGCAGGTCACCGGCTGACGGCACGGTCCAGGGCAGGTCACCGGCGGACGGCGCGGTCTAGGGCAGCGTGATACGTAATAAAGGTCACTAGTAGGTATCACCATTAGCTATCAGCGGTACATATCAGCAGTAGGTATCAGCAGATGCCTGGCATTGCTCAGTGTCATAGTCAGTTTAAGATCAGCGTCAGGATGAGATGAGTTGAATGGCACTGACCAGCGCAGCACATCACATAGATATATCGTCGAAAACTTCGCCCTCATACCAGTTTTACAATCTGACGTATTTGCCAGCGCTGCAGTACAAACACTTTTGATAAGACATCAAAGGCTGTCTGTTTTGTTCTGAGTTTCCAACGCTTTAATAGCTTTAATACCTTATTCATAACCGGAGTTACTGGCTTAGCCAGCGGCAGACTGCTCTCAAGGATCATTAAAACTTCAAAGGCCATCGGCTCTTTCCTGTCGCTTGTCAGTTTAGTCAGTGTTGTTGTCTGTGAAGTCAAGCTTTGCTATGTAGACTAGGAACTCCTTCGCTAGGCCGCGGGATTGTAAGCCATCGCGAAAGTGGGATTGTCGTCATGCCAATATGGCCTTAGTGTTCGCAAAATCTGCAAGCTTCGTCTGGGCAGAAAAACTGGCAATTGATTAGTGCAGCTCAGTTTTTGACTCTTTCGTGGCGGGCTTTCCTGTGTTATATGAAGAATTAGGCAATTTCAGATAGTGTGGTGAAGGAAAGCGTGGAAAAGATCGATAGACATTGCAATGCACTTGCCCTGATGACGTGGAGTGCAGAAGGCAAAAAACCACACTTAAGCATTCACCACAAAAAACAAAGCGTCAACAGCGAGCTGCTAGAAGCAATGTCAGGACAAAATCAAACACCGAAATGCGCTTGAGTAGTTAAATAGTTGCGCTACATTAACGAAGGCTGCGGGCTTCACGATAATTCGTGTTATGCTAGATCGTCGACAGCCACAATTTCATCACGACGATTTGCAGTGCACATTTACGATGGAGTCCCAGATTGCACCTGCTTATAGCAACACGGCAAAATTACAAGACTTGACAAGTACTGCACTGATGTACTCGAGCACTAATGTACTCAAATTAGCAAACGACGGGAGTGAGATGACACGGCTTCCTGCCCTGATGCTTTGCGAGATGACAGTGCCGCTGAAAAGAACGTGACATCGGGCAGCACGCTACACCTCTCTGCGAAACTGAGCATACGGAGACGTGTGTTCTAAATGCATAAGAAATTCACATTATAGTGGGAGCATGTTCAGTCAAGAAACGTAAGCATGCGTGAGACTGGGTGGTGGTGAAGGTAGCGTCTGTGAAGGGTATGAGCCGGTCATCCCATTCATCGCTTCCAATGGCATGTTTGAACATGAATTTTGCTTGTTACTTGTCAGTTAATTATAAATGTAAGCGACAAATGTCTGATAAAAAGGCAATAAACATGAGCTATGTGGCGTATCTGATGATAACAGCTAGTACCAAAAGAAAGCACAACACTCGTCGCATTGCGAAAACAGGAAATAAGGGCACACGATCTTTTAATTTAAACTGTTTCATATATATATATATATATATATATATATATATATATATATATATATATATATATATATATATATATATATATATGAGAACAGGCGCATTCAAAGGTGAAACATCTCCTTTACCAGCTAATTTATGAAGGCGCTGATGGTTTTTGTATTGTCTTTATCTCAGTTACGCACGACTCCCTCCGTTTACTTCCTCACGACGGCGGACTGCTGGCAATGCACCACTCCTGGTCAGAACAATATCCGTGAACAGCGTTGAGCTGGTGATCTTAGTTCACTGTTCACCTCAACTGGGGACTGTGAGGGATTGGGGGCGGGGGATCGGGGGGGGGGGGGGGGTGCACCACATCTTCGTTGACTTTCCATGACGAAATGAGTGCATGTGGTGTGTGCGTGTGCGGGTGTGTGTGTGCTGACGCGTCAGCATGTGCCGCTGACCTTGCATGCCGCGCAAGGCTTGGGGTCGTACCTTCCTGAAGCGAATCCATCACGCGGACGGGTTTGAGCACCTGCCAGAAGCCCGAGCCGGAGAGCTTTCTCTTGGAGAGGAGACCTGTCATCATTTTCTGACGGCTCCGGAACCCCGGGCCCCAGGCTCCATGCCAATGTCGCAAATCATTTCTGAAAGCACTGGACGGAGCCTGTGGCCGGGGTGTGATTTTGACAGGAAAGCT